GAACGCCGGGCAGGCAGAGCAGCGCAAGCCCCTGACCCCGTTCCCTGGCGGGAACTCAAGGGCCAGATAAATATATCTAATGGGCCAGAAGCGGCTGGGACAGAGCTTAAAAAGGAAACTGTCCTGGCCAAACGGGGACATATGGTCACCCTATCTCCAGGCAAGTGGGTCCTGAGGGAGTCTGGCCAGGGCGGGGGCAGACCCTGGCCTGGCTAATCGCGCCACTCCTGAGAGGCCAGAGTGATTCCCCGCCCTGGCACTGGACTGGCTCCGGCCGCGCTGCCTGCTCAGCCGGACAGACACCGTCCCCTTCCAGCAGGGCCGGTGAGTGGCCAGGGGGCAGCGTGTGAGGGAGTGGGTCTCTGGAGGTGTGTGTAGGGGGGGCTGCTGGGCAGTGCGGGGTATCGTGGGGGAGGTCTGTGTGTCGGGATGCTGGGCAGTGGGGGATCTGAGTGGGGTGCTGTGTAGTTGTGGTGGTGGGCTGTGGGGAAGTGCATTGGGTAGTAGTGATGTGGCTGTGGGGGCGGGCTGGGGAATGGTGGTGCTGTGCAGGCCGCTGTGCGTTTGTGATGGAGGGTCTGTGTGGGGGTCTACTGGGCATAGCAGTTCCGGGGGGACGCTGGGCATAGGGAGTCGAGGGGGTGGTGGGTGAGGCGGCTGTGTGGCGCGGCATGGGCCCGCCCCCGAGGGGAAGGGGCATGCTGGCAGCATAGGGTCGGGCAGGCCACTATGCGTCTGGCAACTGCCGGTTTGTAAATAGTGCCCTCGCACTGCGCTGGGCGGAGAGGGGCCGCCCCTGCCATGCCATGCCCCATTGCCCCTGGCTGGCCCCTGGCTCTGGGGACTGACCTCCCCACACCATGCTCATTGCCTCTATGGGGGCCCACAAATATGTTTGGCGCTGAGCCCACAAAAGGTTAATCCAGCCCTGCATGTGTCACTCACGAAAATGCTCTTTCCGTGATTAAAAAAAACCCAACTCCCTCAAAAGACGAAATGGTCTCTGAGAAAGGAAATGATGGGACAGGAAGTGGCTCAGCATAAAGCAGCCTCTCCTGCTAATTCTGGGCGATTTGTAGATGGGTTGGGTGGGTGGAACAGGAAATGTAAAGGGTGAGACCATCGTATGTTGGTTATTGATTAGGTCCCCAGAGAACAAATTAGGGGCAGGAGAGAAAATAAAAATGGGTGCAATCTAAGCCCACACTGGAAATAAAAACAATACTTTGCATTTCTGTAGCAACTTTACTTACCAAGGAGCAAAGAAATCCGACCTCAACTGAACCTTACCACAGCGATCTCTGGGAATTCGCTGGGAATCGTTATACAGAGGGGGAAACTGAGGCCCGGAGTGAGGAAGTGACCTGTCCAAAGTCAGTGAGTCGGTGACAGCGCTGTCAGGGTGTAGCCAAACTCAGCAGGATCCACCTGCTAGAGCACATGAGGAAAATATGGTGCATCAGTTAAATCTCCCCTGGCAGGAAGAATATCCTGTCCCATCCTTGCTGCTTCATTGCAGCCGTGGTACTTTGTGGGGACTCCCCTCGGGATGAACGGCTGCTGTGCATCATGGGAGATGTAGGCTGGAGGAGAACAGGGGTGTGAGGTTCTGCACTAGCCCAGGTGGACACAGATGAAGGGCGAAACATTCCGTTTGGATTTGCCCGCGCACCAAAGAAATAGTTCAGACAAAATCAACATTTTTCCCGTGGAAAACGTCATTTTTTGCAGAAACCACATTTGCCGTTTAATCCCCCACGGATATTTCTAGGACCTCACTGCCCAAGTTACCCCAATAATTTCAACATAAGAGAGCAGCATGGCAGACTCCTGCCCCTGGAGATGAACAGCCCACGCCCACTCCTGAATGCCGGTTTGGGGCACTGACCCCAAGAAATGGGCATCCCCCTCATGCCAGTCTCCCTGATCTCTGCACTTGAGGGACAGGCCAGTGTCCTTTCATTTAGCTGGGCAGACCTCATTTGGCCTGCGTCTCCCCAGCGACACCTGCCCCAGGGATCTCCGTTTCCTTTAGTGGTCGGTTCTCTAAATGACGCTTCTTCCCTTCCTTGCCCTTTTCTTTGCTTCTTCTTGCTCTTCCTTTCATTTCTCCCGTTGTGGGTCACTTGCATTTGTGCTAGCTCACACCTCTGGGCAGGTTGTACCCCCGGGCCCATAGTTAGCTCAGGCGTTAACTCGAATTTCCACCAATGTACTAGACAATCTTGTATACATTTGTCCTCGCTGATACCAAAGTCACAATGCTCTGCTTGCTCCAGGCCCCCTTGGATACCGTCAGGCCCTTGTGCTTATTATATTGTTGTTGGGAAATAAATGGTCAACAAGCTTTTTAAGTACAAATATCAGAGTGGTTCAAGACCTAGTGGCCCCCAAGCAAGGCTCCATTTCACTAGGGACTTACAACACAACAATACCTAGAGATAGGGTTCTTTACAGCTGTAGATCTGTGATACTGGGTCCGGACACCCAAAGGGGAAGAACAGGTTAAGCCCCAAAAAGGAGCCACTGAACCAACTGATTGCACGGTGTATTGTTGTACTATGGGAGTATATTGAGTAAGGGCTTTTGTGAAAGCTTGTGATAGTCTGAACTTGATGGTCATTATGCGATATGTATACGGACTGTGGATAAACCGGACTCAAGGAACGCTCCATTGTAGAACAATACAGCATGCAATCAGTTGGTTCCATTGCTCATTTTGGGGGGCCTAAATCTTCTATTCTCCCCTGGAGGGGGGCAGTCTGGAACCTGATTGTCACAAGAGCTCAAAGTCCTTCACAAAAGAGAGTGAATGGCATTATCCCCATTTTACGGGGGAAACTGAGGCACAGCGAGGGGCATTTGCGCTAGCGTGTCCCAGTTCACCCAACAACTATGAGTAATTAATGCTTGTTCCTTTGCTTCCCATTGCAACCCTGATTTTTGTCTGTTGACAGCTTACGAGGACAAAGAGGTGCCACGCAGTCAGGTGAATGGGACTGTCGGTGGCACGGTGTATCTAAACCCCAAACTGTCAGTCCCAAAGCAATACAAGCAGATCACCTGGCGGTTTAACACCACCCAAAAGATCCTGATTAAAAAATGGGGTCAGTCAGAGTCTTACCCCAGTGACTATTTTCGTAATAAACTGCATTACCACGAGAATCACATGCTGGAAATTAACCAGCTGGAGAAGAAAGACAGCAGCACCTACCGGATGGAAGTGGAAGACAACCAAAGCCAGGAGACAAATGAATTATTCCGACTGGACGTGTACGGTGAGTCGGGAGCAGCCTCTTCGCACAGGGTCAGGGATGGTGAGGTTCAGGGAGCTAGAAGGGCCCTGATAATGCACCCTCCTCTCTCCCCACCCTGAAACGCCCACAAGGCAGGGGAAGGAGCAGCTAACAGCCTGGATGGGCCAAAGAGGCTCCCAGGAAATGGGCCAGACCCTCAGCTCAGGTTCTGGGTCCAATTCTCCATTGCCAGAGCTGCTCTTTCTGGAATCTTTGTGACTGGGGCTTTAAGGGGAGGGGTCAGGTACCGACCTTAATGTCATTCCTGTTTTGGGACCTCCCACAATGGACCAAATGGGAACAGAGGCAAAAGCAGATTGCTGCCCTGCTGGCAGAAGGGGGGTAATGGAGCCACCCAGACGTCTTCAGGGAACAGCTACACACACATCAGAAAGCAGGGGAGACCAGCTAGTGAGCGCCAGGAAGGCCTCTGGGGGAGGGGACTCCATAAAAGAAAGGAGTTGATAACCCTCCAGGCTAAGCTGGTAAGGGCCAGGAAGGATGGTCTTGTAGCCAAGGCATTGGACTGACA